CCCTTGTCTCCTTCTAGCTGATGAGACTGAGTTTTACATGAAACTCATCTTTCAGTATTCAACCATATTTACCTTTGGAACAGATCCTTCCCATGAAGGCTGTTAGAGCAGCTCAGTCTTAATGATGCAATTTAAAACACATTAAAAGAAGCACAACTCCTTCCTTCAAAAACCTACACAAAATCATAAAATTTCAGAGCCAGTTGTAGCAGTTCTCAGACTTTTGAGTTCCTATGAACCAGCATAGATATTTTAAAAGGGAGGCAGGTGCCAAATTTATATTCTTTCAAAGAATGGTATTAGAAACACTAAGCTGAGGCAAGAAGATAGCAAGTTTGAGCCCAGCCTGGGCAACTTAGTGACTTAGTGTGACCATGTCTCAAAATAAAATGGGCTGAGGATGTAGCTCAGAGTGAAAGCTCTGGGTGCAATCCCCAGGACCCCAAAACAACAACAACAACAACAACAACAAATCATGAAGCTTCTACCAACCATGTCATTTCATTTAAAAAGTTAACACCCAAATTATTAAGAGCATTACCACCCAATTTAAATATCAAAATTCATTTTACTTTTAAAAACTCATTTTAATTGTCAAGTATCTTTAAAATACTTAAATATTTTTAAATAATAAAGTCTTTAACACTGTTCCTGGCACATGTTAATTCTCTATTATTATTAGTGTTTCTTTTAATACAGGGGAATATATTTTTCTTCTATCTTTCCAAAAGGCTAAGTTCCTTCCTGAATTTAGAGTAGACCCGTTAAGGCACAGTTGTGCCCAAACTGCAGCTTGCAGCCCTGGACAGCATTAACTTGGCCCAGAAGATCACAAACTTTTAACTTTATTGTTTAATTTTTAGTTATATTATTCATGACTCAGTTGCATGGTACTAGACTGTGGACTGTGCGGGGGACAAAAGAATTCTACATAGGAGAGGGTGCAGTGCCGTGCTACCTCCACTTCCTGCCCTTATGGCCCACAGTCAACCCAAAACCTGCATGTATCAGTTGTTCAGTGCACTTGTGCAACTTGCTCAGTAAGACACAAGCATTAGTGATCATGCTACAGCATTTCAACCTGCTTACACACGTATGTGTCTATAAAGACAAGTGTTTATTGTGATTAAGCAGACACATGAGTTTTCTTTATTAAAACAGGCTTATGTTCTTTCATAAAATAAATTAATAAAGTTAGAAGTTTTCGAACAGCTGTGGCCTAGAAAGTACAAAAATGTGTGAAATAGTTTTTACTTGTGATGTTGTTATAATTATATATACAACATCACTAAGACTACGAAAATAAGTGCCTGATTATTTATTAATTTTTGGAATTACAGAGTTGCCCTCAGACATTGAACTCAAAGAAAAATTTTGCTCATGTCTCTTAACAGACTTTTTAAGACCAGTTTTCCCAGAGAAAAATATTCCATGTTTCATAATCATACCTTATTCACGTCATTCATACTCTTTGGGGCAATATGTACACTGGTGAACAATTTTTAAGGCTGAAGCACACAAAGAGTAAAACAGATCAACAATTTCTAACAATCACCTTGAGAACTCATTAAGAAGAGCAACCATCCACCACCTGCCTCACAAACGCAAGGACCCAAGTTTGATCTCTGGTACCAAAAAAAAAAAAAAAAAAAAAAAAAAAAAAAACC